GTTTCAAAAATTGCGTGCCAGGTTTTCCTGGTTGTTTCCAGGCAACAAATAATCTGCGCTTTTAAAACGACCTTCATCTTTCTTAAGAAAAGATGGCGATGGTGGAACATGTACCAGCAACAGTGTTGAAGGCCAAGTTGAACAGGGCTTGGAGCAACCTGGTCTAGTGGAAAGTGTAGGGGGTATAACGAGATGAGCTTCAAGCTCCCTTCCAACCCAAACCAGTCTGCAATTCCATGATTAATTCTATGCCAGCCCCCGTGGCCAGGCGGCAGTGCCAGCTGCTCTCTGTCTGCCTGCCACCTCACACAACCCACCAAGGCACAGAGAAAGGGGAAGAACCATGTTGAGAGGTGAACAAGCTCAGGATCACCTGCCAAATCGCCTCATTCTCCTCTTCTCCTGCTGTGTCTCTCATCGGGCCTGTGAACTGTCCAGGAGGTGGGACTGTCCTGCCTCTGTAATGGCAGCATGATGGGATTATGTGGTTTAACAACAGGCTCCTGTAGGAACTTCTTCGAGTTTGGGGTTTTGCTGCAGCCTGTGTTTCTCTCCTCCGGGAGTTCAAATCAGGAGCACTGGAGCAAGCAGTGCCCAGCAGCGAGCGGAACCCAAGGGCTCTCTTCACTATTGCCTTTCTATTTTAAGAACAGGGGATTATTGTTAATATATTTCTTGTGTTTGGTTTCTATCAGAGTCAGTTTGTTTAACTAATAGGCAGATTTATTTACTGGAAGGAGGAGGAAAGCAGCAGTTAAAAGGATACAGCAAATCCAACGAACATTAATCTTGTCCACAGCAAAACCAATGGCAGCACCTTGGAATTTTTTCAACTTTTTTGCAAGGTCTTTAGATTGTAGTCAAAATAATGCCTTAATCTGCACATTCCCAACTCCAAGGTCTGGAACAGGAAGGGCTTGTGCTGAAGAACAGTCTTTGCTGTAAAATGCAATGGAACTCATTGGGCAACTCAGGAACTGATGCCAAAAAATATAATTCCCATTTATCTCAACAGGAGATTCCTTATTGCTTTCAGGGCCTACGGTATAAGCACTTTTCCAATTTAAAAGATAAAATCTCCAGCAGGAGAGGACAATAATTCCAATTTAATTTTGTCTCCTCACGTTTACCAAACAGTTCCATTCTGTTTCTTGGAGACCACTAATATTAAGATTTGCCTTTTCTGAGAAGGGACAGAAACTTTACATTTCCATCAAAATGAAATTTCACTTAAAAAAAACCAAACACAAAACCCTCCAAACACAAACAAAAAAACCCAAACAACCCCTCCCCACCCCCCCAAAATAAAACAACAACAAACACCCTTGAAAACTCAGTTGTTTTTTTTCACTTGGGTATTCCCATCTCTCTCTAAAGAGAGTGCTTCAGACCAAACATTCCCTGTGTGAAATGTTCTGGGAAGAAGCAAGTCCCAGTGAAGTATTTTCACTTTGAACATCACATTTTGGTGAAATGCCACTTCCTTGAAAATGGGCCAGGTGGTGATGATGATCCTGCCCTGGTCCCTAGTCCACCCCATGGTTTGTCCAACCCCAGAAGGGGCTGTGTTGGTGCTGTTGGTGAGGGGACCCTTCGCTGTCACCAGGGATGTGTCCGAGCCCAGGGAGAGCCAAAGCCAACCAGGTGCTCAGTGGGGGATGGAGCTGTGGTGCCCAAGCACAGATCAGGGCTCTAAAGGCCACTCTGGATTCTTGGAAAGCACACTGAGTGTGAGATTAATCTCTAGATTTTGGTACCTGTACCCAGAAAAAACACAAGTTATCTGTGAATGACAGTGATGCCTTACAAAAAGCAGTCTTGGTTCTTGGTAACCCATTGCCATTTCTTTCCAAGCTTTTATCAGTGCAGAAAAACATTTGATTTTTTTGTCCAGTTAAATTCCTTGAGGCTTCCTGTGGTTAAAAATAATAGTAAAGTCTGAAATTTTAAAAAAATAAATAAATACTGTCAATCTGAACATCAGCTGGCTGGAGATACTGGCAATAATTTGCTTTTAACTCCAACATCCACAGTTCCTACTCCGAAGCTAAAACTGACACTGACAACCTTTGACCACCCTGACAGTCCCACTAAAATCAGTCAGGCTGTTGACATGAGCAATAACACAATATTACTGCAGTTTATTTGGGGTTAATGATTCACAGAATCACAGGTTCCCAGAATGGCTTGGGTTGGAAGGGACCTTAAAGATCATCTCATTCCATCCCCTGGCATGGGCAGGGACACCTTCCACTGGACCGGGTTGCTCAGCAGTAACAGGACAGAGAAGTGCAGAATGTTTATCTGCCTTTTGTGAAGCTGTGTTAAGGCACAAGTTTGAGCATCACAAAACATCCCTTGTCTCTGGGCTCACACACCCAGAGAGGGGATGCTCGCTCACTTTCTCCTTCATTTACATTACAAAATATTAATTTTCTTAACCACCAACACACAGCATTTTGTCAAAGAAAACCATTTTGTTCTCATTACAATGTTTATGTTAAGAGGAAGAATGACCAGCTTTGTGACAAGAAAACATCTGAGTTTTCCAAAGAAGAGGAGCAAGCTGGCTGTCACGTATTGTTTTGCCGTTGTCCTATTTGCACGTCAGCGTGATCTTTGTCGAAGGTTTGCAAATGAGACTCTTGAGATCCGTTTTTAGCCCCCTGCTGAGGGCAAGAGGCACCAACCAGGGATGCCACAGAGGCAGGAGGACACAGTCCCACTCCCGCCCACGTGCTGTGGGCAGTGCCAGGCCAGCGCTCACCCAACTCTCTGCAGCTGCCCATGTGCTCAGGTCTGAAGGAACACAGATCTGCCCACAGCCTTGTTTTGGATGTGGAGCTGAGCAGTCTGGTATCATCTGTCATAACCTGTTCTCAATATCCCTGCTCTGGCTTCCTGGAGGTTTTCTGTCAGCTGTGTGAGCTGCTCTGCTCCCTCCACGCAGGGACAATGTTTTTCTGTGGTGAGCTCCTGACACTGTCAGTCCCTGGGCTTGGGTCCATGGTTTGGGATGCAGACAGCAGCTCCCCTCCTGTGATGACTCAAGGCACTCACCACTGGGAGAGGCGATGGGGAAATGTTCCTGCCATTTGCCACCACTATGGAGGTCTGGGGCCAGACCCTGCCCTGCCAGGGGCACCCACCCAGCAGAGTTCCAGCCCCGTGCCTCACAGCAGCATGACACACCAGTGGGGACATTCCCTCCCCCCCAGCCCCCAGTGGACTCTAAGTCTCCTCCTCCTCTCCATGCCCTGGGAAGCCCAAGAGCCAACCTTGTCAGGCTTTTATTTATTCAGGCCAATAGGTCTTATTTCTTCGATGCTTCCCTGTGCTCATCTTTTTCACATTCATTTTGCCTTCTTACTGTTTTATATGTTCCCTAAAACCAACAACATCAGAGCAAGGATGTATTTGCCTTGCTGAACACTAGACTATCTGTCCATTAAATACTTGCTGTCCTGGGCACTCAGCTGTTTCTCACCAAAAAGCCAAAAGGATGCTTGCGCTCAGCCCTTTCAAGTCACCCTGTGCTCCCCATCCTGACAGGATTTCTGTTCCAAAGGAACAAGATTGATGCTTCCTCCTGCCACCTACATCAACCCTCTCTTCCTACAGCTCCAGCCACACCAGGCAATGTAAGACCCTGTCCAGTGAATCAGGATTAGGCCTTGCTCTCTCTTGAACAGGCTGATCATTAAAGGAGACTTTTCTAGTCAAGACACGTTACTGATTTGAGAGGTGAAACATTTCCTCTTTTAAGTACAGAACAGCACCTGAGATGGCATCCATCCGAAAGGTGATGGTGCATTGATCTTCAGAAACACAGTGAATTCTCTTGGTAATCCTGATTACCTGCTCATTTGAGCTGCATTTTTCTGCTCTCTTCTACCCTCCATTATCTTCTTGCACCCTTTGCAGTTTCTCTTCATCCATTATGTTCCTCTTCCAGGAAGGCTGTGCTAGAAGAGCAGATGAAACCTTTACATGAGTAGTCGTGAATAAATGTCTGTGAGAATTCATTACCCACCATCAGTTTTAGCACCTCTCTTGGAAAGCTCTGTCTGTGTGTGAAATACAACAGTCACCGTCACAGCTGATCTGGCAAGCCCCGTCCATGGAGAAGTCACCTTCTTTCTGTAAGTATACCTAGTCCTCTTGATGCTGGCTTTGTTTGCTTCTCTTATTATCTGCTGTTTGAAAAGGCTGATAATTCTGAAAATCACAGAGGGCTGGTTTGGGAGGGCTGGTTGTCTCTGACAGAGCCGCAGCACCCAGATGTCAACCGTGGTTCTACCAGTTACTGATGCTGCTTTGGGGAAAGGCATCTCTCACACCACTCTGCTTCAGTGTCCTTTTCAGCAGAACTAATGAAGGCATCTCTGCAAAGTTTTTTTAGGCCTCGTTCCCAGTAGCTCTTTGAAGGAAAATACTAGCTGAGAAGCGGCTGGATACAGAGGCATGTAAACCAGCTCTGAGAGTGCCAAAACAAATGAGCTCGTAAAGTGGGAAAGCTCAGGGCTGCATCCCAGGAGTGAGTCCTTCCCTCCACAGATCCCTGCCAAGAGGCACATGTTCACTGCAACACATACTTTGGTTTGCATTCATTTCACTGGATGCTCTGAAAAGCCAAATTCCCGGATGCTCAAGTGCAGTTTTCTCCCCTCTTTCTTATCCCCTTGTCCCCATCCATTGGCTGCCTCCTGTAGGAACACATGGCTGAAGAGAAAGGAATGAGGTAAGGGTGGATATATGTTTATGCATTAAAAAAAAAGTACAGAAAAAAGAAACAACATGAGTCGATGGTAAAATAGTTGCAGAAAAGAGCACAAAAATAATCTCCATGACAGCGCCAACATCAAAGGCTGTCTGTGATGGGAGGGCACAGAAAGTACTGTTAGACACAGATGAAAGCCTGGGGAGGGGAGAGAAGGGAAAGCAGGAGAGTTCAGTCACAGCAGGTGTGGAGGTGACTCCTCAGGGGCTGAAAAGCCCCATTGCTTAGAGAAGTCACGAGAGGAGAAAAAGCAAGGCTGAACTGCCCCCTTCCCTCTCTAAAGGGGTCAGCTGTGGGGCTGAGGACTAAGGCAGGATCTGTAAAGTTCCCCTCCCTGTCACAGCCATGATGAGCGTTCTGGTTCCAATGATACATTTTTGACACTTACCTGTCTCCTCTGGAAAACCCCAACAAAACACAGGCAGGAGTCCAGTGATCCCATGCTCTGCTGGGCACGTGTCTGGGGCTCTGTTTGTCCCAACTCAAACCCCAAACCTTGTGTGCTACATGAGGACAGTGCTGGTGCTCTCAGCAACACAGGCTTTGGGCAGAACTGGAATTCTTTAAAGAATATCTGGTTTATATAAGTCGAAATTAAAAAAAAAAAAAAGAAGCAGAAGACTAGTTATATTTGTGAACATCAGCATAGGGGTAAGGAAAGAAACGAGTGGAGTCACAGTATCTAAGGACTCAAGGGGAAGGTAGGAGGGGCGCGATCTAGGAATATGTGGATCTTTTTTGCCAGAAACGTGGGTTGAACATTCCTATTTAAATATGTTGTTAATGTCTTTATATAATTAATTTTTAAGTTGGTCACCATAGCAGCAATGGCAGACTCACATGAATGAAAATAGACTTCAGTATAGATGAGACTAGAGAGTAGCTGGATGTTGTTTTTGCCATCTCTGTCGGTCTTGGATCCACCAGCTCCCAAGAGACTGAGTTCCCCCACTGAGGGTTGATTCCTTTGCCAAGATGTAGGGAGCTGGGCACCCTCTGACTGCTTGGGATCATCTCCTGGGAAGGTAGAGAGCTCTTTTCCATCACAATGAACTTAGGATCCAGACCCACCTTTATTGCCATCTTCCCAGGTTTCTTTCTGCTCCTGAACAGCAAAGACAAATTTGCTTCCACAGTAACACAAAACACTTGCTTGGTTTGTTTAGTTGGCACCTGTGTAAGGAGTAAGTGAACCCTCATACTCTATCCTCCTAAATCCAGAAAAAATAGAATCCCACTGGACTCTGGAAGCAGAGGGCTGGTCAATCCCCAGGAACGTTGCCCAGCACTCAACACATAGTTTCCAAACCCTTTTGCAGGGGCTCTCAGAGGAGAACAAGGCAGGACAAAGCTGCCAATGGCATGGGGCTGTCACCTCAGCTCCAACGCTGTCCTCTGACCCCCCCACCATCCCTCCCCATCAGCTGGAGCCATCCTGCTTTCAAGGACAGAATATTCACAGCTGGAGAGAGGAAAGCGTGGATGTCCTGCGGAACAGCTGAGTAGCTGGACATTAATTAAAACAAATCTAAGGAAATTAAATTATCTGTGACTGGCTAATAACACTGCAGAAAGTTCTCCAGTGCAAGAACAATAATGTTGCCGTGGACTTGTGGCACTGACAAGGACTGTAAGGACAGCAAGGACAGATGCAGATACCAGGCTGCTTCTCATACAGAAGAAAGGCCCCAAATCATTCCCGGAGTCCTGTAGGAAAGTGTCCACCTGTGATGCCAGAGCCATCACAGGGCCATGGAGGGGACACCAGCAGCCCCTCTTTGCTGACACCGTCTGAACAGCACGGTGGGAATGGAGCTTCCTCTTACTCCATGCCTTGACACTCTCCTTGACGGAAATCTCTGGTGGAAGATTTACACATGTCTAGGTTAACATAAACAGGGAGTGGAAAAGGAAGTTTATACCAAATGGAAAGAGAGAGAGTTTTCCAAACAGGCTTTTTGCTGAGCCTTATCTAAGTGAAACAGCCACGCTTGGCCATCCAGGGAAGGTCTGGGAGAGAGTCCTGTGCTGGGGGGGCATGTGGTCACAGGACACTGGGGATTTCAATCCTGCACTCCTAGAAAACTGATTGAGATCAGGGTCATCAGGGATTAGGTAAATAAACTGCTTTCCTGCTATAGAGAGAGGCTGGATGTTCCAGCCATTAGGCTGAAGAGAAAAAAACAGCTAAAAAGGAAGGTGGCGTCAGTCCTTCATCCATTCCTGATCCATGGATATCAAGCACCAGCAGTGTTTCTAGAATGCCAAGGATGTTTTATGAGAGAGATGATCTCGGGGCAACTTTTTGCCAGGCTCGATGCCTTGCTCCTGGGCTGGGTTGGGCACCTTAAGGCCTGGGGGCAGCTGGTCCATGGAGCACATGGCTGATTTCAGCTCACTTTTGCGCCCAAAGCGGGACCCCCGGCTGCTGGTGTGGAGGGCAGGGCCCCCCATGGCAAGGCTCAGGGGCTCCCTCGGAGTGCACTGCGGTGGATGAGGGCCAGGCACTGCCCCCACCCAGTCAGGCCCCGAGCCCCTCCGGTGCAGGCTCCGTGCACGTTCCCTCCAGCCTCCTGTGGTCTTGTGGCTGGTGGTTTCCTCCCTGCTTGGTATCATGGCAGTGCTGCACACACCGGGTCCCCAGGCAGCCGGTTACGCAGCCAGGGTCAGAAAACCAATATGGGTTTATTTCACTTTTTTTTACTTGTTTCTAGAAAATCGAAACACGATTTTTATCAGAGATGAATTCGCTTCCATGACCATCTAGGTTTCTGCCAGAGGCAAGTGCTGTCTCTCTAGGAAGGGAGGTTCAGCCAAAGGCTCTCTTTGGCTTGGTTTGTTTTCCAGATCCACTGTACTAGTTTTCCAGCCTTTTGACCAATTTCCATGTGATTTATTAGGGACTAAGGCCTATTAACCAGCTGCAGGTTTCACTGAGGAAGGGAGGCAGGAGATCCTACTGAGACGAGCACAGCTGGAGGGACCATGGACGCTGGTGCAGTGGACAGACAGATGGACACTGCTCCAGACACATGGACATTGCTCCAGGCAGACGGACAGACAGAGAACGCTCTCCAGCTCAGGCTCAGTCCTTGGGGAGGGAACCGCCTGGTCTAGACCTGCTTCTCATTCTGCAGTCTGCTGAAGGGTTTGGGATTAACGAGGTGATAACTTGGACTCCCCAGTATTGCAGCCAGGCCACATCCCAACGAGGAAAGTGAAGCTCTGAACTATTTATGTTCCAGTTCCTACAGCTATTTTTAATAGAGCTTTGGAGACTTGCTGTATTATCCTGCCTTTTTAGTGTCTGCCTCTTTTCTTAATCTCATTTTCCCTGTCCTTTCTTTATCTTTAGATCAATTTATACCATCCTTTTTATCATGGTCTAATCAGAACACACTTTATGATTTCAGATAAATGTAGTCATGGTAATTTTCCACTCCATTTAGGTCAAGTCAGGATGAAACAATTTTTTTAAATCTTATCTAGTAACCACCAGAAATGGCTCCTTGTTAAACTATCTGTCCCCTTGCTTTTCTAACTTTATTAGATTTTAATGTCAACTGTCAGTCTCCTTTTTTGGGTTCTTCAGGAAATTGGTTCTGTGCCGCAAACCAGCCTGCCAACCCTGGGAAGAAAGGCAGGCAGGGTGGCCCTTTTCCATCAATGGGTGGCTGATGGGGCCCTTCCGTCCCTCCAGTCCCACAAGCACAGCTATCCCATGATCCCCCTCAGGCCGTGGCAGCTGTGTGGCCTCAGCCACATGCCACACGTTGGGCTGTGTGTGGCATGGGGCTGTTTGTGGCTCTTTAGCATCCAAACTGGCCTCTTGGAGCAGGGCTCACAGGCACCCAGACACACAGACAGTGGCTGGGGGTGGGCTTCACCGATACAGGCACACAGCAGCCACTGTGATAATCTGCACTAATCCATAGGGGCTTGGTACCACCACCCCACATCCCCTCTGCCATGGCCATGTTTGAGATTTATCTGTTTAGGGATGTTTGGGAGAACGTTGCAGCAGGTTTGGGAGTGGCAGCAGAGGCTGGGGAGAAATCCCATGCCCGAGCTCTGTCCCTACTGCACAAGCCCGGATTCCAGTCCTGTCACACCAGTGACAGGTCTGTGGGCATGTCCTGTGACCCTACCTAAGTTTTGGTGCTGTCACACCAACAGTGGAGCTGTGAGCATATCCTGTGACCCTGCCTGAGTTTCAGTGACAGGGCTGTGGGCACCTCCTGTGATCTTGCCCAGGGCTCCACTTACTCTCTGCGGCCAGCAGAAATCCGCCTCACTCTTCTGAAGCACGTGGACCAGGGCTCTGTTGGCTTTGGGTGACACACACTGTCTGAGGTTTAATAATATCACCAGGAATAATATTATTCAGCTTCAAGCAAGCTGGTAGAATGTTAATCTTTTCATTTGATATTGCATGATTTCAAAAGCATTTATGTGGCAGATTGTCACACTTCTCTATTCTGTCCTCTCTCCGAGGATGGCATCGGTTCCAGCTCTGAAGTGCAAATACCAGTCCCAGAGCTCCTGCTTCCTTGCAAAGGTTAAGAACACACTGATCTACTGTTCCTGTCTGTCTGGAAAAGGGCAGGAGATGGGGACTGGGATGAGGGCCCTGGCACAGCACAGGCACAGCACAGTCCCCGCTTGGCCACAGACAGCTCTGTAGCCCTGCTGGGTTATAATGGCCTCTTGCATACACTTCATATTCTGTTTATATTTGAGGGGTTGTTTTATTGACTGCTGGCAAAGGTGTATGTTCAAGACTTCTAACGGTGTGTGAAGTGAGGGTAAAAGTGTTTGGGACAAACACTGTTTTTAAACTTCAGTGTAATTAGGGTAGTTAAACATTTTAATTTTAAAATCATAATTCGTCTGTTGGCCAGGGTGCTCTGAGGCTGGGCAGCAGAGTGCGGGACCCTCTGTGGAGGAGGAGTTGGACAGAGTTCAGGGCACCAACGGGGCTTTGGACAGGGAAAACCCAGCCCGACGAGCACAAGGGGAGGGGAAGGAGGCTCCGTGTTCCCGAGCTGCACTGAGCTCCCAGGGCGAGTCTGGAGGATGCCCAGTGCCTTGCTGCGGGATCCAATAACGGGATGTGCCACAGCACAGCTCTCCACCGCCTGTGCCAGCCTGTCTCCGGGCTGCCAGCACTCCCTCCCGCGCATGCTGGAAGGGCACAGCACTCCTTCGCCAATAACCCTGGGGGTTTTTACAGCACGTACAACTTGTTTTCGGCTGGTCTCACGTCCCCTCCCCGCAGCCCGGCCGGCGTGTCCCGCTGGCAGCGGGGCCACCGCCCCTGTCAGTCCCCGGACGAGACCCGGGGGTGGCTCACGGCGGGTCCGGGGAGCTGCCAACAGCGAGGTGCCAGCTGGAGAGAGCTGGCCTGCTGCCCGGGCCACTCGGACAGCGCAGGGACAGAGCAGCGAGACAGGAGAGCTGGAGCAAGCCCACCTGCCTAGGGAAGGTGTGTGAACTTGGCACAGCCTGCCCTGCCCTGCCCAGCCAGCACGTCGGGGCATTGCACTGAGGTGGGACTGCAGCTGCCCCAACACAGGGCTGCCCTGAATGTGTGAGATGCTGAAATTTTGAGATGGTGTTCAAAGGGCTCAGCGTATTCAGCCTCATCATCTCTCTGCTGTGAAGAATATACATGTATGTGAACTCCTCTAGAACAAAATAAAATCTGGGCTGCCCAGTAGCCTGCAGAGTTTAAATTCTGTGGATTACACTACAGATACTGCTGCTTAATAATTAAAGGTGGCAGCACTACGACAAAGAGTGCTAAAATCAAAGGGAAGCAAAAGGGAAATTACTTGGTGATGCTTTTATTGGGTTTTAACTGCAGCATAAAAAGATTAAAATGTAATTTCTACTTTCAAAATGAAACTGAAGTGGAAAAGAACAGACTCCCTAGGCATTGATTTCTTCTCTTTCACTGAGTTCCCTAAGACACCTCAGGACCCCTCTGTGGCACAAAACCCTCTTTCTGGGAGCTGCCAGCCCCAGGAGGGGCAGTGAGATGCAATGACCTCATTTCACTTGGAAGAAACCTCTAACATCATCGAGTCCAACCTTTCCAATCAGCACTGCCAAGGCCACTGCTAGCCCATGTCCCCAGGTGCCACATCCACATGTCTATTAAATCCCTCCAGGGGTGGGGACTCCACCACTCCCTGGGCAGCTGTGCCAGGGCTGGACAACCCTTCTCAGGAAGGAACTTTCCTAATATCCTGTCCCCTGGTGCAACCTGAGGCTGTTTTCTCCTGTCCTGCTGCTTGTTCCCTGGGAGAAGACACCAACACCCAGGTCTTTGCTGGTCTGGGGGTGGGGGGTAGGTTTTTAATTTTTAAGACATTTGTGACTTACCCGGGGAAGGCAGCTAAGGTATAAGGGGACTGATCCATCCGGTGCTTGCCAAATTTCATGTGTCCTGCTTTTACAGAGAGAAGATAATGCCCCATGCCCTTACGGCTCTCGGCTCCTCTTGCCCCAGGGAAACACTGACACTTTAAGGTCGGAAACGCCCCATGCCCAGCCCTCCCGCCCGGCCGCGGTTCCAGCAGCAGCAGTGCTATGGAAACAGTTCTCGTGAGAGCTGCTTTAATAAGTTTGGCTGTTTGTTTTGGTCTGCGCTGTAATGAGGAAGAGGGGAACTGTTCGTTTGAGGGGTTTTAGATTTCTTCTAGGTACAAGTTAGGAAGTAAACAGCCTAAAGACATAAAGTGAATGTTATCAGGAGTATGGTGCTCTAATTATAATTACATAACTCATATTTCAATTTTATGGGAATATTAAAAGGATTCCTGGGAGAGTTTTGAACTGTCTAAAAGTGCAACAGCACAAAACCCAATAAACCTTGCCTTCGTTTGGAGGACATTTCCTTAAAGGGCCCAGCTCAGCTGCCAGGGCTGCAGTCTGTGCAGAACTGAAATTTCCTCAAACTCCCTAAAAGATAAACTGCTTCCACATTAGAATTTTCTCCCATCCATGCGATGGAGTAATGATAGCTTTTGCTGCTGTCAGGGCTGGAATCCAGAGGACTGTGTGAGTGGATGCAATGCATAAATATTTTCAGTGCATGCCTGATTTGTATAGAATACAAGATGTATTTATAGCCCTCATGAATACAAAATGAATGTGAGTCGAGAGGGAACGCTGTCTGAGTGGGCAGGAACACTTGCTGACCTCCACAGAGGGTTCAGGGGAGTTTTGGGGGGCAGGAACATCATGAGGCTTCTCCCCCTTTGCAGTCCTGGGCCTGCTGGCAGGTCCAGTTCTCACGGGCAGAGTCAGGGACACAAGAGAAACCATTCTGTAAAACTGCCTCTCCCTGGAGCTGTGCTTGCACCTGTGGGGTGAAGATGGGCCTCCTTCATGTGCCTTGTACCCCGAGCACACAACACATTGCTCCTGAGGGCAGGAGTAGAGTGCCCTGAAGTCCTCGAGGAGAGTGCCCTGGACTCTTCCACAGACACCTGAAAGGCTCGTGGCACTGCCCGGTGTGTCCCAGAGGCCAAATGTCCTCATTCTGGGGCAGAGGAGGAGGGGAGGTCATTCTCTGTACCTCTGTGCCCCAATGGCAGCTGACACAGGAGCCAGGAAGCAGAGCCTGGATGGGTGCAGGTGGGCAGAGGGGGATGTGCCCATGGTGGTGTGGGAGCAAGGGGAATGTCTGACAGCTCCACCTGCACCTGGACCAGGCACCTGGGGTGGCCTCTGGGCAGAAAGTGGAGGAAGAGGAGTTTGCCTAGGACAGGAGGAGGGCATTGGTGTTGAGGGTGGCCCGTGAGGGTGAGAATAGGTCCCGGGAGCATCATTTCTGCTGCAGCCCTGATGGACCCCATGGTCCCAGAACAAATAGGGATGGAAACAGCCTGGAATGCCTGACAGGAATGTTGGGGCTGGGTGTGTGGGCCTGGGGTCAGCAGGCAGCAAGGGGCCAAGGCAGCTCTGTCCTGCATAGGATCCTGTCAAGGGATGGGGGGCACAGGGCTGCAGGGTGCATCGTGTCCTGGGGTGATGGGGAGCTCTGCTGCTGCTCACAGGGAGCAGATGTCAAAATAATACCACCCCCATCTCACATCCCTCTGTTGATTCAGAAGCCTTAAGCAGATGTTTCCCAGCCTTTGTCCCCTCTGATCTCCAAAAACAGCCTGTAGGAAAAACTGCCTTGTGTTCCTTGGTGTGGGAGTGAGGGGGGAGGGGGATAGGTCCCTGTGGGAGGCAGCTCCAGCACCCAGAGCCCAGCAACAAAGGAGCTGCAGCTCCTTGATCCCCTCAGCCCCTGGTCCTCACAGCCCCCTCAGCTTCCACAGCTCCTCAGCCCTCCCCCCACACCCCCGACCTCCTTGGGCTTAGCAGAGAAAGACAAAATGTTGAAGCTGTCTCATTCCCACTAGGAAATAAAAAATGCCCTTACTATTCAGGCTGTCATCATATTTTAGGTCTTCAGACGCTGCCATTTCATGGCTTGGGTATTTGTGGTTTAACTGCTTCACACCCTGGAGCACTATCTGAAAGGAATTCATTTGGGAATCTGACTTCTAACAAGCAGGGTCTGCTAGCACAAGTGTGGGAGGAGACCAAGGAACCTGAGCAAATACCCCGGCTTTCCTCACAGCTTCACACTGCCTTTTAGTTTTCAGGGTTAAGTAATTTTCTGAATCTCCAGTCATTGGTCTAATGAAACTGCAACATACTTACCAGGTTATTCATTTTATTCTCTACTACTCTCAATCCTGACTCAGTCATAGTGACAGTTCCTGCCTGGGAATACAAACTCAATCAAAAGTCATGCTCTGAGATTGTAAGGCTTCCCAGAAGAATGTTGCCACAAGCAAAATTACATGAAATATTAATAGGTGTTTGTTCTATCACAATAAATTTTAAACAAAATGAAGCTCAATGAATCATATGGTCTAATACAGTGCATTGCTCAGTGTTATATATCAAGAATCAGAGGATTAATTGGGAACTGAAAACCAATCTGAAATGTGCACTTGTATGTAAATGTATGCACTAAATACGGGCATGGATTTGGGCATATGAAAACGTTCCTGTGACTTTTCCTGTTCAGCCAGAGACACCCTTCCTGTGTGCAAGTCAGGGCTCCAGGCACAGCAAGAGGGCTGGTAGCATGAAGGGGCAAATCCTGAGAGCTGAAGAGCACTTCTGCCTGAGAGAATGTGATTTAGATTAACTATTTTTAGCTGTATCTAGTGGGAGTTGAAGAAAGAGAGTGTCTTCCAGGAGGATGCAGAATACCACGCTATATTGGGCGCCAAAATCGGAGCAGATGCTTTCAATTACACTTAATTCACCTCAATTATAGAAAAAGTCAAAAAAATTTATAGTTACACTAAGAATATCTTTTTATGAAGTTACAAGTGTTTATCAGCGCAGACTGCCCATGTTACAGAGCGAGGACACTGCGACACAACCAGCCTGGGAGCAGTTTGGGACTGTTGGCAGAGCTCTGCTGCTGCTGCTGCCCAAGGAACACAGGTGTGGCTGTGGACAGGGTTTACTTCACACTCCTTCTTTAGGGCAGTTTATCCAGTGTCTGTTTCCTGACATCAACCAGTTCTGTGCTGTATTAGTATGTCCAGGAAAAAGTATTTTGTTAGAATTAACATAGGAATATGGTCTGGTGCTCGTCCTGAATCAGGCAGTGTCACAAAGACAACACTAGGTCACCCTGTCCAGAGGCTGGGACTAATCCCTGTCTTACTAGAAATCATAGCCCAGTTGGGCTCACCACAGTCACAGCAAACAGTAACAGTTCGTGACACATTTGGAGAATAGGAGATGTTTCAGAGTGCCCATGTTTCACACATCCATGTCCCCGCTGAAGAAAAAGAGCTCTCCCAGCTTCCTGGTGTGCCTCCCAGGGAGGCAAAGGAGCTCATGTTGGCACTGCTGCGACTGGCTCTGCAGGGAGACGAAGGGCTCGGATGGCACTTCCTCAGTGCCAAGTCGTGAGTCACTCTTTCCTTTGGCTCTTTTCTCTGACAAACTCTTTCCTACAGTTACACTGACTATTTATCAGCTGGAGACAGACATCAAAGCCTGGGGTTTCCACTGCCTCCTGCTCAGGGCACCGCGGTGCCCCTGTTTAGCTCCTCGCTCTGCTGCAGCCGAGGCTGCCGGGCACAAGGGGTCCATGTCCCAGCCCTGTGTCCCAGCAGACATTCAGTCATTCAGTAAGTGCTGATTTCCTAATTCAGTGTAACCTTTTCATATCCAGGCTAAGGACAGCTCGACATTTCCTCTGCTTCCCAGGGAGACTCTACAAAGCCTCTCAGCTCTGCTCCCAGTGCTGCTGCACATCTCTGGGACACATTGTGCATTGTCAAACATTTGGAAAACATTAAACTACTTTTTAAAGCCTTTCTTCACCCACTTCAGTCACTGTCATGGAAAACCTTCAGTACATGCCACTCTGCTCTGCCTGCTCCCCCCAAAATTCTACAACTTACAGCTTCCCTGTGAGGGTGGTGAGGCCCTGGCACAGGTTGCCCAGAAAAGCTGGAAGCCCCATCCCTGGAAGTGTCCAAGGCCAGGTTGGATGGGGCTTGGAGCAACCTGGGCTAGTGGAAGGTGTCCCTGCCCATGGCAGGGGGTGGAAGAAGAGGATCTTTAAGGTCCCTCCCATCCTGAACCATTCTGGAATTCTGTGATTTTCTCTAAAAGAGCAACATAACCTTTGTAAGACAGAAAGCAGAGATGTATGTTAACCTTGGAGTAAGCACCAAGAGGAGGTCAGGTCCACCTCTACATCATTGTGCAAGCTCTGCAGGAGAAGGGGAAGGGAGAGTTGTCTTTCAGACAAGAAAAACCACCAATCTTGGCTGCCTTTTCCAGCTTTCAGTGTGTCCATCACTGTGCTGTCTGAGCACCCTCCAGCAACTTAACACACAGCCAGTAGCTGCTCTTTGTCCTTCCCTATTGCTCTGCTGAAAGGGAAATATTATTTAACATGGCAGAGAAGCCCTTGAAAATAACATCTTAGATGAAGTAACGTTTCCTCTCTATGCTTGATTTGCCATCCTTAGATAATGTAAAGGGAACAAGGTCTTGCCAGGCTCTCTCACGTGCCCTTAAGTATTGCCGGTGCTTTAAGGGATTGCCTGGGAACTTTTAAAGCCTTCCTCCATCTGAACATTCTGCAAGTAACATTGCTCCAAAAACCAAAGGAATCTTTCACCTTGAATTAAATCACCATGTAAGAGATTAAAGGGTTACTTTCCTTTCACTCTTCTGACATCCCTTTTTGTTCCCAAATCAGCCTGCATCCTGTTCCCTATTGATTAAGTGGATCTTTTTCCAAATCCTACACTTTGCAGAGAAACTTTGTAGGCTGCATTGTCCCTCAAACTGGCTGAGTTGTTTCTCTTTTAATAACCATTTTTCAAGCTGCCAGCAGCTCTTAAAAGTAGTTTTGGATTAAAAAGGAAGGAAGACATCCCAGGACTTTATGTTTCTAA